CGGTGGACCATATGTCGCCCCCCCTCCGCCCCTACACGCCCCTGATGCTCCTGAGCGCGCGGGACGGTTTGAGCTTGTGCGATCGAACTTTTTATGATCACCTATTTAATGAAAAAGTAGAATCAAAAGTTTTACAGTGTCTCTGATTGTTGAGCTGACGCTACTGTTGTGGAGGAAAGTGTCTGAAATGTGTAGTTTCGTAAGTGGTAAACTGCTCTCTCTGCCACTCTTCAGTTATTGTAACAATGCTAATGTCCCTCGCAGCTGCAACTTTAATCCAAATTGGGTCTTATTTCTCAGTCTTATTTTTGACCGCAGGCCACTTAGGAAACTACACACTTCTTCTTCACTATACTAGGCCTGCTCCCACTTAAGAGGCCTAGCAGCGTAGACAGCATATTTGTGAAAGTGGAGAAAGTCTTGAGTTTGTAGTACTTACAATGCAGAGCTACGCAGGCACAGGCCTTTCTCCCTGAGTAACGGTGACATAATGGTGATTTAACGCTCCAGAGATCTCCTGCAGCGCCCTGAGTGTGAGACCTAATTCTGGCCCAATGATAGAGAGCCCACCACAAGATGGCAGCAGCCCCACATATTACTGGTTCTGATCACTCCAACCAGCAGTTTGTCACTCAGGGTTTTGGTGCCTCAGGTGCTACTTTCAGTAGCAAACTTCCTTTCCTATCTGCTTTCCTTTCTTTTGCCTCATTTATAGACCAGTAAATATATAGGGAGAGCTGACTAGCAAATTGAGACCCATGGGGAATCCCCATGACAAAATCAGAGAAAACAGATAGGAAAATAAGTCTCTTTCAACTATTCACACACAGCCCTGAATGTCTAATTCAGGTGTTCCAGATTGTGGAACATAAATACCACCTTAGGTCACCCACAGGCCAATCAAAGTTCAGATACACCTATAATATTGGGTGAGAATGAAATGCTGAATCAGCCTTAATATGGTACAGGCCTGAGTCCAGGAATACTTGCAGAATTTTATTCCAAAATGTTGTATATCCATTTGTAACATTTTGTGTACGTTTTGTGTGGTTTTATAATGTTGCATTCATATTTCTTGTATGCGTATGCTATAGGCCACACCGAACAACGTGTATCATGGAAAAAGAACTTTCTTGAAAGTGATCTATAATGTGTTTTGAAACGAAACTCTTTGTCAGGTCTGGATTAAGAGCCCCTGGTGACACTGCCCCTGGTGTCATCTCCATGAAATCTGCATCTCACTATCACACACACCACTTATTCATAGACAAGGCCTTGTCAAAGTGTGCCAAGTATGCCAACTAGAGGACACCAACTCTCTGTAAAGATTGCTAATGTACACAGTGCACATCGAATAAGATGCCAGAAACAATCATTAAAACCAGTGTTTTACACAAAGTGTCTAGTCGCCAGTGTCTAACAGTCTGAGCTGTAAAAGATCATTTATAGCTGGTTTATTAGACAGATACTGATAGGCATGGTGTGTAAATAAATTTGAAGCAACAGTTTGTATATAAACAAACAATTTAAATCATCTTTATTTTATTGTATTTAGTTTCTGGCAACCTTTTGGTGCCCCTAGGCAGTCATCCAAGTCACCCATATGAAAGATCCAGTCATGCCCTTTGTTTGCTTCAATGTATGGCCCAAAATAGCTGCAAAAACAGTTCTAATCTTGACAAGACCAACCAACCTTTGTCCAAACACCAATGGATGTTAGTCAGTTAAACAGATGTTTGAAATACAGCTGTGAAAGTGCTAAAAAAGTGGAGGAAAGTGCTAAAATACAGTAAGTCTAGTGAACACATCCTTAAAATAACCCATTATTTTCAATAGAATAGAATAGAATACTTTATTGTCTATTTTGTTTAAATTTCATATAAGTGAAATGTAACTCAACCCCTAAAATGTATAAAAATACATAAATATTTATATAAAATACAAATATGGGGCAAATACCAAAAAATCTTAATGGATAAAGGCTGCTAGTAGCCTAATGGAAATTTAAACCTAAAGCCTAAACCTAACCTAAATATATGATCTGGGTCATCATTTCAAAATTAGAAATATTCCGTATAAATTACATGAGTACTATTGTGACCCATGAACAAGATTAGAAGCATTTTATGTCAAATTCCTATCTAGCCTAGAGATGGTTGCTATGGACTTGTATTATGGAAAGAGGATGCTTTGTCCATTTTGGCTTTGTACAGTTTTTACTTCAAATGCCGTTAGTGGTTCTTAATTCCAGTGCTGGGAACGCTATGTACTGCACTCTGGTGATTTCCCTGGTTTAACACACTAACATTCAATTTATCACCCCTTCAGGAGCCTATCATATGTGATAAAGCAGGGAACCCACAAAAAAATACACAGTGTAGTTCATGGGAATGGGATTGAGAAAAACGTCAGTGCCATGTCACCTGCGTCACCAGCGTCACAGCTGCAAACGATGTTTTTGGCTCATGTGATGCATTTCACCTCATCTTTTCAAACTATAGGCCATGCAGAATTGCTGACCACTTCAACACACTCAGAGGAGAACATTAAGTGCTTAACTGTTCCACATAACCACATAGATGAAGCAACTGGCTGATAGTTGCTTAGCAACAAGGAAAAGAGAAACTCCATCCACCATCATTCATTCCCAGTGAGAACTCAGACAACCCAAGGTGCTATCCAACAAAGGCCTCGCTAATGGAGATGTTGATGCTTGTCCACTTGTCAGTGATTCAGGGGTCAGAGACAGAATGCCGGCTGTTATGAGCCTGTGGCACCAGAGAACAGCAGTGCTCATTGTGTTACAGCGGATCCCCTTACCATCGATCCATAGAGGAAGAGCCATGCAGGAAGAGTTTATAGAGGTGAAATTTAAAGCCTGTCTCAGAGAGAGGTCCTTTCAAGGGCAGAGAGAGAGGGAGAGAGCGAGAGCGAGATAGATGGGAAAGGAGAAGACAAGAGAAGGGAAGTAATCTTCTAAATACACTTTTGAGGATTTGGCTAAAAGAGTCCATATGAAACCAGTCACATTTGGCTATTTTTAGAAGTTTCCCCCAAATAAGGGTATTAGGGACAGGTATGAAAACAGGGTCTGAGAAAACAGTGCTTGAGTCTGGATGTTCTCATATGCCATGAGAAGTTTTTTCTTACAGCTTTCAACATGAAGCCTCAGATAAGAGTTGTAGTTTTCAAACACATACCAACTTTACTGCTAACACTCCCTGAAGCTCTGCGTCTACCTGTATAAAAAACTAAACTAAACAACAGTTAGATAACAACTATCATGGACCACCACCTAGAGAACAGTCATAAACCCAGACCTACAGTAACAGCCACATAACTCTTAGGCCTGGTTTCTTGGACGTGAATTAAACTTTGTTTTAGATTTAACAGCAATGGCAGTGGTATCATAATTAAAAATGTTGCTAAGGCTCAGGTTTATTTTGGGACTGGGAAACCCATCAATGCTGAATAGAACTGTAGATGTACATTCATGTGAGAAAAAGTAATGCATTTTTATTCTGAAATAGATGCTTGGGGGGAAAAAAAAGGAGAAAATCAAACAGAATCCCTGAAAGCATTTCAGTAGGCTACTCTTTACCTCTAGTGGGACATGATGAAAGGGAAAATATTACATCATATCATGTACTGTATGGATTAGAGATAGTTCTTACTTGGTTTGTTGTTTTGATTAAATAGTATAGCAATTCCCAATCTTACTCTTGTTTTTTGTGTTTTCCAAATAGGTTGGCCTTTTTTTTTTTGCTCTTAAAAAGAGGACACCAGTGGCAGGAGGGTGGCACGGGGCAGACTGTAGAAAGCAATTGTCAACATGAAAGCAAAGCCAAATTCTGGACATTTTAGGCAATTTAAAAAATCCTGGCTGCATTTTTCGGTCCCAGGAAGGACAGGTTTCCCTACTTTAACACTGCGGGATTTAATTTACACCTGTCATGAGCAAGATATGTTACAACAACGAAAACACATGAGATGACCAGGACCAGGACTGAGAACCCCTGGAGCAATCTATGTTGGTAATCGTAAATACATAAAAAAAGTATCTCCAATTTTTTTCTGTTTTAACAGAAACATTGAGTGAAATCTTCATGCTGAATGGACCAATAGAAATGCTCCAAAATACTTTGAATAAAATTTCTTTACATTAACTTACATTACCTCTCCCGTAAAGTTGCTGTTTTAGAGAGTTTCTGTTATGACATTGACAATGTGCTTTAAAACAAAAGAACAATACTGCTCCTCTAGACGTACTTAAGCCCAAAGAGTTTAAACACCAGAGGGCGCCATTTGGCCTTACTGCTTGAGACACGACACATCAATATTTCACTACTCCAATATCCCCAGATCCCTAAACAGGATCTCCCCCAGACCTGGAAACTGATTTAATTTAAATTAATACATTTTGCTCCATCTTAAAAATACTAATTCCATCCTATAATTCCAGCTTCATCCGTGTAAAAGCCGCAGATGCTCTTTACTTCGAATGCCGACTGGAAACCAGTTGAAACTTGTGGATCAGGTCAATGTAGTCGGACTGATAACCACACAAAGCTCATTTACAGTGTCTAAAAAACAAGTCAACTTTGTAATGTGAATCACAAGTGATCACGTGACATTTCATACTATTAGGTTACACATTGTGAAAATGTAAATGAATGAATGATGTGAGAAAATCACAAATAAAAATATAAATGAAAAATACACGCGTGAAAATTAACACGTGAAATGTTTAGAAAACACGTGATTATCCTCAAGTGAAAGTCACGTGATTTTTCTGTACGGTCGAACATGTTGAACATTTAATTCTGGACAAGCTGCTGAGAAAAAAATAAACTAACACCTTCTGCAAATGGTTATGTGTCTCATAACGAACGCTTTTAATTTAATGTAATCATTCCGGTTGCAAAGCGCTGTCAGCGTCAGTATGTGCAGAGAGAAAGCCTGAAACTGTTCAGCCTTCAGCGCTTCTCGCTCGGTGGGAATCCTGCGCGCTCTGACGCACGCGAGAAAGAGCGGGAATCTCTACATTCTCCTGCACGCGGAGTCCGAGTGGAGCGCATGTCACGTCACCAGCAACGGCAGCTTTTACACAGCGGCTTCAGTGCGCCCTCAGGTGAAGAAACCTTCAGCTTATTCCGTCGTTTGCCAGTTTTTCTGAGGAATAAGTGGGCTTTTCCTGTCAGAGTAAGTGAGGAATACTGAAGTGGCGTTAGCTGTGGGAAAGTTAGGCGAGTCGTGGCGAGAGCGGGTGAGCTATGGGGACTCTGCGGGACCTGCAGTATGCCTTACAGGAGAAGATCGAGGAGCTGAGGCAGAGAGACGCGCTCATCGACGAACTGGAGCTTGAACTGGACCAAAAGGACGAGCTCATTCAGAAACTCCAGAACGAGCTGGACAAGTACCGCTCGGTGATCCGCCCGGCCACGCAGCAGGTCCAGAAACACAGTGAACTGCAGGAGCAGCAGCGCACCAAGAGACAGGCGATCTCCGCTGAGCCAACCGCCTTCGACATCCAAGAGCTCAGCCACGTTACTCTGCCCTTCTGCCCCAAGAGCGCGAAGTAGGTTCACACGATTTTGATCAAGAAACTCACTTTCTGTGTTTGTGGAGGTTTAAAACCAGCTACCAAAGGACACACACACTAAGGTACACTCCACTCTTCAGTAAATCAGTGAGGGCACCACTTTATTAAATCACGAGTGAACAGAGAACTCATTAAGAGCAACTAACCTCTGTGAAGATGAAGCTTAGTGTTGGTTCCCTAACTTGACATTGTACACAGAGCCAAAACACAGCATATTTAAGAGCAGCAGTGCATCGACAGTGAAGCTTCCATTCTCATTCAGAAGGCTAGAGGCTAGTCTTTAGGCAGATGATTCACACAGGTGGGTATTGAAGTGACAGTATGGAATTATATATGGAAGATTTCTAAAATATTGGTCAAAGTTTGTCGACATCTGCTCATCCAACCTTTCTTCCAAAATCAGTGCTTTTAATTGAGAGTTTGCCCCACCCACTTTGCTGCATCCTCTACTTTTCTTGGTAGGCTTTACACTAAATTTTGGGAAATTGCTGCACTGTAAAAAAAAAAATAATAATAATAAAAATAGAGGTTTTGACTTAAAAAGTTAGTGTCAGGGCTGACTTAAAATTTTGAGTTATTTGAAGTTTAAATAATAAGTTAAAAGGGTGTAAGATTATTGTAGGGCTGGGCAATGTGATGATGTTTAATCATTATCATGATAAATTATGTCACGACGAACTGGAGCATATCATGGGTTCGTCAGTACTTAAAAAACACTGATCACTTGTATGTTTTATTACAAAAAGGATGTTGTTCTGTTTAATTAGTTTTAGTACAGTGCAATAGGCTTATGTGAACTGTTGAAATCATTGTGCTTAGTTTTGGATAGCAGTTTTTAAATGTGCCACTACTGGGTTTTTTTTTGCCAGTTCCAACTTATCACAATGTATAATGAAGTTTGAGTTGAATTAGATTGTATATTGTATGATTTGTATATTGCATATTGTGAAAGTGTCAGTACCATGATTTTATATGATGATATTACATTTCCGCCACCCGTGTTGTTATTCTGCTAACATAGTATTTAAAATTCAGTAAACTCAGAATTTTAAGGCAGCCTGAATACTAACTCAAAACAGCTCATTTTTGCTTGCGTTTGGCCATGAGAGCATTAGTGAGATACAGAAGTTGGACGAGTAGTTCTGGGTCAGAAATGACACTGCAACTCATTCCATCTGATCACTCCAGAGAACACAGTTCCACTATTCCACTGCACAATCCTGGGGGGCTTTATGCCCCTCTAGCCGACACTTGGCATTTGGTATAGTGACCATATTCTCATGTGCAGCTGCTCCAGAGTGTCACATTTTATTGGCAGTGCTTTTCAATGATGACAGTATAAGCTGTATGTGTGCAATTGAGCACCTGTGTCAGCAGTGTGTGTATCTTAGTAGCTGAATTAATTTATTTCAGGGTGTGCCTGGATACTTTAAGACATACAGTATATATATATGGAACAGTTAATTTAGTTATTTTTTGCTATTATATCGTTATGCTAAATACACACATACGTAAGTGCAGTCTTGTTAAGAAATGCAGCTCATCTGTTCCTGGTTGCCAAAGGGTTTGAATAAACCAAGCCTACTTTGTTTAACGGACAGATCATTTGCTTATCAAAGCAGTGGCATGGAAATTGATGCTGTGTATCATTTCGGTGACGTATGCAGGCTACCAGGTTCTCCTGTATGACACACAAATTGGTTATCATCACATTTGAAGTTGGCTTAATTTGGATTTAATGCACAGACACACTTATGTGTTATAAACCTGTTATCATCAAAAGGGTGATTGAAATTGTGATGGGCTTTAAAAGCTGTGGATTTTCTCACCTGTTGACACAAAGGCATTCCTGTGCAAAATGGATCTCTCTAATTCAATTTGCATCCAAAGTATAGATGACAGTAGAAGTTTTGTCTTCTTGATATTTGCATGTTGCTGATCAGTGATCTGTTCTGTGTAGTCTTGCCCTGCCACATTTAACTAACTAACCTAATGGGTTAATCCTGATACTTGATGCAAGTTAAGCATGCACATTCAAGAAATTCTGTGAAATCACCATATAATTTTCCTGTTTTCTTTTTTCTTGTAATTTACGCAGATGCTCTATTCAGAATATTGCAATTTAGAGTCATTACAAAGAGAGTGAAATGAAGATTAGCTTCAGTAACAGGTGATACTGGGCTAGATTGAGTCTATGATAGAAACAATAAGGATGTTTCTGGTCCTTCACTAAATGCCCAGAGGGTTTATCTTAGGAAAAGAGCGTGTGTGGTCTTTGTTATTTGTTGCAGAAACAGACATTTGTCTTTGTTGTACCTGCCTGTGCTTTACAGGGAGAAGCATTAATCTAGTCTGCTTTCCCCCTGTTTGGTTTTGGGGAGGTATGTGCTCTCTCTGCTTGGCCTCCATAAGATTGATATAGAAGAGATCAAGAAGGACTTCCAGCTGAGTAATCCTCATATTAACCAACAAATTCTGTTTTTGTCCTTTATGTGATCTCTTTGCTTACAGTAAACATATTTTAACGTTACATTATGCATATTTTACATTATAGTAAGCATTCTCCTTTTTTAATGATGGCAGTTGAATAGAAATTTGATTAATTGAGTTTGAAAGTTTTTGTAGCTCTTTGTACTTTTGAGTTTGGATAAAATCTTCAGTCAAATACTCACCATCAGTTTTATTACAAAGACCTGCTTACATTTACTGAGCACTATGTGAGATCTACCTACCTTATGGGTTAAGTGTACACATAGGTATTGTCCATCTGTTCAAGCAAAATTTGTCAGCCACACTCTACCCCGTTCATCTTTGGTCAGTTTCTGACCACAGGACACTGTTGACCAGATATTATTTGATTAGCAGACTATTCAGTGATAGCAGCTTGTTAGTGGCATAGTATTGTGTGTAATACTGGTACAAGTGTATCAGTCACAGTGTTGTTTCTGGGGTTTTATACATGTAACTGTTACTAATGGGCTCATTGCTGTGGTCAGAAACTGACCATTGACGAAGAGCTAAAAGATGACTATCACAAATTGTGCATAGCAATGTGGTGTGAACAATATATAACATAAAGACTCTCTAAGACATTTTTATGATACGCAATATTTAGTGTTTCTGAGGTTTGTGAACAAGCTGGAGCAGGCAAAATGCAGCAGATGCACTCATTCAAAAAGGCTGTGAGTGTGATTTAGTTTTTTTATTTTGCCAAGAAAAACTAGAAGCAGCAGGAATACAATTGAAACATTTGGTATTACACAAATATTATATTAGTATTATAAATTAATATTTGCCTAAAAAATGAAATCCTAAGGTCCTAAGGCTGAATTGTTTCCCACATTTGGCACATGTGTAGATCTGTACAATGTGCCACATTTCATGAAATCATTACAAATTCAGTCTGTAGTTCAGCCCCTGTCTGAGGCTTTGCTCATATCATGTCTGTAGAAATCAGATCACAGAGAGCCTAGAATAAAATATATTTCTCTTACACTGATCAGCACCTACATATAAAAGCAAGCATTAGCTTGCTGGTGGATTTGGATTGAGACCAGCATGACTACGGTGGGCATGCATCTGTAATACAGAGTGATCAATAAAACCCCTCCATACAGTCCAGTTCTAAAATGTTTTCAATTATGTTCCTGTTTTTCCAGCCATACTAATTGAGAATTTGTGCTGCAGTCTCATTTATTTCCCCAAGTAGAGGAGCTATGTTTTAAAATGGAGCTTTCTTAAGACAGATGTTCTTGTCTGGCTGGGAATGCCAATTTATCTCTGCCACAGGTGGAAAAATAATGAGATATGTTCACTCCATGATATGCTCTTATGAAATATAATTTGAGTACATTGCTTAGTGCTCCTTGCACTCTTTTTGACAAGTAAGTATTTTTACTTTAGTATTTAGACTTTTTTACCCAGTTGTGATCACAGAGCTCCTAACAATGCTTTTCATTATACTAAGAAACTGAATATGGAATTAATAATATTGCAGTGTTATGATATATATGGTACTAGCACAGTGGACCTTATTTAACAAAGTTGCGTGTGGTCAATTCTGAAGGTAAAATGAGTGCACACAAAGGTCACCAACAGTTATGTTATCCATTACTTGCATCTTTAACATTTGTATGATCAAACTCACATCTGGTAAAAGTGTGGGTAAATTTGAGTATAATAGTGAAAAATATAATAGTATTATCTGAAACAGTGCTTGATTTGCAGTTAACTAACCAAACTATTATCAATATCATGAATAATACCAATAATAAGAATAAAAATATAAATTAATAATAGTTTTAATCATTTGTGCACATGGCAATCGAGTGCAAAAGTATTTGTATAAACAACTGTTGCAACTATTCTATAACTATGTTGTATTTAAAGACATATTACACTTTATTGCTTTTATTTTATATTACATGCACCACCGAAAAAATTTAAAAAACACAAAACATATCTAGCACAGAAGCCATCTAATTCACTGCAATAATAGTGTTTAAATATTTTGTTGTAGGAAAATAATCACATTTACACTCTACCTTACAAATTTCTACCTTAAAAAAATTAAGAAGTTTTTTTATTTCATGTTTAATTCTTTCCGGTCATTGTAATGTGTACCTCATAAAGTTTGGTCAGTGGGGAGGCAGTGCGCTCACTGGTCGACCTCATGCTCTGCCTACGAGCACAGCCATTGCCTCACGAGCTGCTGGATGCTTTCTCCCTCCAGAAATATCTGAATGACATGGAAATGATGTACTGGTAGGATGTTGCTTGATTTCACGCACTTTTTTTTGAAGATTTGCCATTTCCAGTTAAATCTCTGCTTATATCCACATTGTACGCAAGTTAATGAATCAGACGCAGTTGTTCACACGTCATTAAAGAGGTCTTATCTATGTTCTTTTTTCCACAGCTTTGATATATAAAGGCATTTTTTTTAAACTATCTTGCTCATGTTTCAGGGTGTGCTAAGGTGGCCTGTTCTAAAATAATAACCATCCTGAAAATCTTTAATTTCTTCTCTTGTGCTCTCTTTAAGACTTTGCAGCTTTTTCTTTTCTCAGTCATTTTCTTTCTCTTGTCACTGTCTCTGTTTCTTCTTTCTTTCTCATTTTTTGTCCTTTTAAGGGAAGTATTCTTGGTCCTGTAGACCTGTAGGACATGAATCTTTTCTTACTAAAGGAAAGAAGTAAAAACCACAAGTCAAACACAGAGAGAAGTGTAGAGCATGTTAAAGAGGGCAGACCACTGGAAGCTCCAGGGCTCATTTGTTGTAAATGAGGCCAGTACTGTGCTCCTCCTCTGGGTATAAATCTGCTAGCCTCCTGACTATGCCTTCTGAGCAGCCTGCTCCCAAAGCTATACCGCTAACACTACAGCTTCAAAGCCTCTACACTAAGACTTTAAATTTGTGCTGCAAGTACGCAAAGCCACAATTGGTCCTGTGAAAGAAAACTGTCTACTGATGTAAGCCCTAAACCTCTCCACTTAAACAAAGATCAGCATATCAAAGCTGGAAGTTCTTCATACATGCAAATCAGGAATTGCAAGAATGGTCATACCATGCAAAACAATATGATGTTATATGCTAACAATATGATGTCATTATGAAGTACACATTTTACTGTGCACCAGAAAAAAAAAGAAATTAATACAAACAGAATGAAAGAAATAATATTCAACAGTAATCAGTGACACAAAACAGAAATCACCAAGGAGAACACAAAAAATAATGCAAGCGTGTAAATACACAGTTTTTGATGTGTCACTGTATTGTGTGCATCATTGAAAACTGAATTTTGAAACACTACTGTATTAAACTACTTAATTAGTTCAGTAGTTATATATTATTACTTATTTGTTATCAGAAATTATATGTATTCCATATCATACCATATTGTTCTTTACATATTTATATTTGAAGTACAGTGTAGAGTTGATGTGCCCTGTATGACCACAGTTGAACTAACTGTACAGCTGTCTACATGGTGGTTCTGAGTGGAAGAAGCCACCAAGAGGAAGAATGCAAAGACCTTGAAAAGGCACTGTTTGTCTTCATGGCGAAGCATGCCCATGGAATGTAAACAGTATGTGGTGAATGGGAGAGTTTGTGTGTGTTTCAGCAGCTAAATCTGACGTCTGGCTGATGTCCAATACTGTCCGACCTCGTTTCAATGAGTCATAAATGAGACTTTTGAGAGATGATGTCACAGTGACAAGAACTTACAGAAATCATCTGACAGTGGAAATGGAATTCAGTCATATGTTGAAAGTGCTGCATATTTCTGACTTCTTCTTGGAGAGAGGAGTGTATATTTGTCAGCTGCATTCAATACTATGTAAACATAAGACACATGATCTATTAAAAAGCTTTTTTCCTTGCTGTGTCTTAGGTTGAATTTGGAATATCTACAGCCTAAATGTCGGTAAACATAGTCCTGTTTTGGGTTTTTCTGGTTTTATTTTTGTATGTACTTTACAAACAGTATTTTTTTTTTTTATTTTAGTGTATTTTCATATATCTTTTTCCTTATCTGTCTAACCATCCATCTACACCAGTCTGCACAGCTTAGTGTGGTGTGAAAGTCATTCGGAAGGGGGTTTTAGAGGGCAGCTATTTTGCTGTGAGGTGATATGCAATTCAAAATAAAAAAAATCCCATCTCTGATGATCGCATATTAAAGGAAGAAGATGTCTGTTGCAGTTTCCTGAATTGAAAGGTTACATTGCATATTCATTATCCGAGATCTGTTGTTTTTTTACATGTCTTGTAGGCTTGTGTTGATGACTGTACTGTGAAAAAAGGTGTCTGTATGTGTGTGCATATTTTCATTTTGAAGGTGATGGAAATCTGTACCAGTCCACATGTTCTATATGTCTTGAGGATTTCTGAAATGCGTTTAAAGTTCTTCTCACTTTGAAATTTTATTCACATTTCATTTGTTTTCTGTGTAAGTCTCTCTTTGACCTGGCTTCATCTTTGTTGGCTTGTGCCAAAGGCACAGTATGACCAAAGATGAGTTGAGTGACAAACTTGATTTGTGATGCTTGACTGAATGACTTGGTCTGCCTTACCTCATTTTAATTTCTTTCCACACAGGTCCAAGGAGTTGATCAAAGAGGCAATCTTGGACAATGACTTCATGAAGAACCTGGAGCTGTCTCAGATCCAGGAGATCGTGGACTGCATGTACCCTGTGGAGTATGGCAAGGACAGCTGCATTATTAAAGAGGGCGATGTGGGCTCCCTTGTCTATGTTATGGAAGGTGAGCGACAGGGATAAATTGACTGTTTATTTATGTAAAAAACAAATAGACACATGATGATTTGCTATATAGTTTTGTGTAATTTATAACATCAGAGGTGTTGAGATTCATTATTGTGGGAAGTCACACTCATATACACCCGTACTCATGCTTAAAACTTTCTGTGCGGCCCCAGGCAATCGATTCTCATTGGTATGATTGCGACGGCAACATGACTTTTTAATGGATCCAATCAGAGTGTGTGAGTTCTCTGCAGACCTGAGAAATTGGAAAAAGACACAAACAGTTTTCTCATAGATCAATACTGTTTCATCATCTACTTTCCAAACTCAAATTATGTAATCTTTGAATGATACTTTGATGTACTCTAAATTCAAGTATGGAATCGCTATACTGGTGAATGATTTCTCTCCACTCTGCCTCTGTGGGTTGTGTTTGTACTCGTCTATAAGAAGGCAGGTGAATTTTATCTGGGAGAGTAGATGAAAGAAGCACAAGCTGATGATTCTAAGGGTGAGAGCATTCTTTGTTTCTTCTCTTTGTGGTCTAGTAGAAAGGTAAGCACACTTGGTTGGATTTAAAGGATTTGCTTGGTTTGTGCTTCAGGGCTTTATGCCGCCTGTCTGATATGAATTGGACACTTCCCTAATTTGTCAGAAGTTTGAAACAAGCCAATTAGAGAGAGAGAGAGAGAGAGAGAGAGAGAGTGAGTGAAATGACATTTTGTTGCTCAGAGAGAAAAAGACAGGCGCCCGAGACAATGGCATTAACATATTTGTCAGATAAATTTGGTTGAAGTCTAGGAAGACACACAGTTTAAGTAAAGGTTTTATTTAGTGGAATTAGGCTGCAGCACAAGACACATTGCATGGGACACACTGCAAATTGTATACCCAACCAGGGCTTAGAGAAAAAGTGGACAAGTAGGCCTACAAGAGATTGAAAAGGAGATGGAGAGAAAGGAAGAGAGAATGGAAAGAGAGGAAAAAAAGAATCTCTGGGGATCGTCACTAAGAAAGAAAAATGGTTTTCTCCACTGGTCTGAATTATTAAGCATTAGCAGTGGATAGGAAAAGACACCATAGATTCATTCTATGGCCAAGGCATGCCGTAATTTTTGAAAGCAGAATAACAATCATGCATGTGCACTAAAATATGTTGATTAAAAGCCCTCCCTGTTTCTGTGCTAGTTCACATGTTAACAGGTCGTTCTGCTCAAGAAGTTCTGCTTCAGCAAGCAGTCTGCTGAAAAACACCATATGACACTACCTAAACAGAGTATTTATTTATTTTTGTACATAGTTAGTTACTCAGTCAGTTAGTAGTTAGTTATTTTAAAAGCCCAGTACCCACTAGCCTGGTATGTACATGCCAGATTCAGCTTCAAACTTTAGCTGGCTAGTTCTGGTGGGTGTTTTGTTCCCTAAATAAGTCTCAGGTTAATCCAATGCAGTGCATGCACAGTTGTACACCACAGAAGGAAGGGCATGACGAGGATTGCACGGTAGGAGATATTTCAGCACTGATAATTGGCATGGCCTTACCATAGGAGAGCCCAGGCAGGAAATGCTGGCCTATTAATGTGCTTGAAATGTCATATTAATCTGTGCTAATGCTGCCACTCTAATTAGGTCCAATCTGAATAAATAAAGGCTCTGCTAATGACTTCAGATAATGTCAGCTACAGTATGAGATGATGGCCTGTGAATCAAATGCAGAGTTTCAGTGGATCCCTTTAGCCATAAACCTTCTACCATCTAAATCTGCCCAGTTACTATGGCAGAGAGGGAGACAGAGGCAGACTACAGGCTGAGAGATGAGAGACCGTTCGCTCCGAATGCAGTTGTGAAATGCAAACTGTACCCCACATGCTGAGCTTTTCCACAGAGGCTCCAAATTGTTCTTTTCTGCAGACATTAGTAGGGCTACACACTCTGGAAGCTTGCTTGTGTTGTCTTTGGGGAGTTCAGCTCTGTGTAGTCTGGAAAATAAACATCAAAGATGATATTTCTACTGTCAGTTTTGTCTTTTTGTAAATAGCATGTTTTGTGTGATTCACTAAGACCAGAATGACTACATACTCAAAATACTTTTGAGTTATTTTTGAGGGTATTTAGAGCCTGTGTTCATTACCACTCTCTCCTTTCCTTGCTTTCAGTCATCAATAAGTAGTTTTGCTTTTAGTGTTTTGTCCTTAACAGAAGTTGAAGTAATGCTTGAATTGCTTTTCAACAGTACTGTGTAATGACCGCAGCAGGACAAACATGGATGATTATTGACAACACTGTCCTGGAATTAATATTCAGTTTCCTTGCTTTTCTTGGCTAGTCATTCAACCAAAGAAAAAGTAATCAGCTCAGATGAAATGAGAACAGCATGTTTGCAAGACTGAGCTTGAGAAAACTCCATTTGGATGGTTAATATTAAATCATGTTTTTTTTTTCACATCTATGATTATTTAAAAACAGGGTTTCTTAAATTAACTATTGATTGCAAGTTTGCTGGAAAGACACTTCACTCCTTAGAAGCTAAACACTGTCTTATTGAACGCTATCATATTCCTGCTCCTGTTTTATCCTTGGAAAGAGGTGAAAAAGGAGTTTTCACATGTTCTTGTTGATCATTCAGATCCATCTAGAAGTCATGAATAGGGCTCTTAAAAACAATAGTTTAATTCTCAAGCAGCACTTAACTGTATGATAGGGAATATACCAAACACTCCAGAGCAAGATGTTTTGTTCCCTGACTCCAAGGGTCATAACTTCCTGTGTATGACTGAAAGAGGGGCCAGAGGTCATGCTGCTTATACATTATGACTTCCTGCTCTGGTGGAGGACAAGAGCTGTGGGACAACATGAGTTGAGATTGAAAACAACTCAGTGTTAGATCTAAAGACTGACTTTGAGCTTTCTGCTGTCTAGTATGCAGACCTTATTTGGAGAAAAAAGAAATAGTACCTACCTCACAGAATGATTTGAGTTAACAGCTTAACTTAACAGCTGGACTGCATTTCTCTTAGCAGGTACATATATACATGAGTTCATGAATGATGCTTATGGCCAAACAAGCTTGAACCTTTTGAATATAGGTTCAGAAACAGCTGTTATTTGTTATAAGAAATAGCTTTGAATGTTGAAATTCCCTTAGTTAGACAATATGCAATTTCCTATGGCCGATAGAACTCTAAAAAATATGTAAACCTTTTGTTGAATGATTCTGGATATATTGACATAAATGTGAATATAACATAATTGTCCTGTTCTGACGTATATTCAAATTGAATATCTGATAGCAGTTCAAACACTCAGGTTTACAGTGATCGTCGTTCTGCACATTCTTTTTGCCATGCATGGAAATACTGTTCTAATAAAACAATACTCGCCTTGGTGACCTCCCTTTGATATTTTATGCTGCTTTGCATGTATACTGGTTAGATGTTCAACAGGTTTGAACTTTGTTCTCAGCTATTAACTACCATCCACAAATGATAGAAAAAGTTCTTCGGTGTAACATAAAATACTGATGTACTAACATTTGGAATAATGGTGATTTGTAGCATTCTCTTTTTGCCTTCAGGCAAGGCAAGTTTATTTATATAGCACCTTTCATACACTGCTGTCATTCAAATAAAATACAGAGTTGTTTAAAAAAGGTAAATGAGAATAGAAATTAAAAACATGTTTAAAACATGGTTTAAACAATAGATTTAACAGAGAAAATCATTACATTAAAATCAAATTAGAAAATATTTTGAGCCTGGAAGTGTCCAGTGTCTGGGCTCTTCTAATGCTCTCTGTCAGCTGGTTCCATTTAAGAGCAGCGTAGTAGCTAAACACACTTTTCTCCATGTCTAGCCTTCACCTTCGGTAGTTCCTAATGATCTCAGAGTTCTGCTCAGCTCATATCGCTGCATCATGTGAAATAAATATGCTGGTCCTGCACCACTGAGTAATTTTTAGACCAGTAATAGTATCTTAAAGTCTATTCTGTAACAGACTGGTAGCCAGTGTAAGGATTTGAGAATGGGGGTGATGTGTTCTCTTCTTTTACTCCTAGTGAGACTCTGGCAGCTGCATTTTGAATCACCTCAAGTTGCTGTTTAATTGTCTTTTTTGGGAGTGCAGTTAGGAAACCATTACAGAAGTCAATTCTGCTAGAAATAAAGGCATGGATGAGTTTCTCCAGGTCTGCTTTAGTCAGAAAATATCTGATCTTGTTGATGTTCTTAAGGTGATAAAAGCTGATTTAGTAACTGCTTTGACACAACTGCTAAAAACTAAGATCAGTCCATTATTATACCAAGGTTACGTACTATTTCTTTAGGTTTCAGGGTTCTCAAATCTAGATAGGCATTACTATTCCCAAATAAAATAATATATTTTATCGTTATGCAACTGTAGAAAAGGTATACATATATGGTTGTGTCTGAAGCCCATCACTTTAGTGCGTCTGTTAAAGGTGTACCAATTTCATTACAACATTGAAAAAAAAAGAATGTTTAAAACAGGGTATCAAAATGGAAAACTATTTCATTGATAGGCCACACCAGGCCAGACAACAACCTTTTCACATGTGTCCCAAGTAAGAACCAATCAAAATACCTATTAAAAATCCATGCCAAGTGCAGCTCCAGTTGGCTGCCAAAATTGACACAATGAAAGAAACAAAAACAATGAAACAAAGAAACCAAAATTCTGAGAAACAGTGCTACGCATTTTAAAGGAAGAAGTGCTGGCAAATAATATAGTATAATTGTTTGGTGAAGATGAAGAGAAAATTAAACAGTGGAAAAAGATATAAGAGACAATTGCCGAACATATAAATGTGATAGCAAATGTAACACAAACTGCTGTTGACTGTCAAAAGCGGTGCAGAAAGAAAAAGAAAATGTGAAAGAAAAGGCATCCATATACTACCAGGAGCCCCAGCACACAGGCAAACCATTTACTTTTTAATCAAGATACAAAGCTCTTCATCGGAACATCTTCAGCTTTTAATTATATGAATTGTATTTTACCATGTAAGATTTCATTTCTCACTAGTAACAATTAAAGTCATTTTCATTTTCATTATAATGTCAGTATTTACATGTGGTATTTTTTTCTACCATTTTAGCCTTTGTTTCCTATTTTTCTTGACCTCAGAAATTTAATTTTAATGTAATGTAAACATTTTGTAATAAGTAAATATCAAATTTGGACTAGTAAAAAATTCATTTTGACTGAAAAATTTTCACTAGTAAAATTAAAATCTTAACCTGCTTTCATTAAAATCAGTTTGAACATGTTAGAATCTTAACTTGTCAAATTACTCTTTACTTATTTGGACCACAAGCTAAAGCTACTTTCCATATACAGGAGGGGATTTCTGAAACATTAAAGGTGCTGTTTTAAAAACAGTGCCAGTTGAAAGTGTGGGAGAAATCTGTTAATAATAACACCAACATTGGCATTTCATACGGCAAAAGTGTGTGTGATGTTCTCTGTACCATACAATACAGTTCCACATACAGTACTCACAAGTTTTCACTGGTAACAATGGCTGGTTTTCATAGATCATAGTTTCTCATTTGTTACTCGGATACTCTGATAACAGTATTTATCAGTAAAATTTATCATCTAAATACTTCTGTCCACAGATTGTTTTCTTTTTCAATATCCAGTATTGTGTTTTTTGTAAAATTTTATTTTCTATTCATATTGCTCTTATTGTATAATTGTTTTGCTATCTGGTGTCAACCAAAGGACAGTAGATTCCCCTTTTGAGTCTTGATTCCTCTCTAGATTTCTTCTTCTTGCTCTTAACCACCAATCCATCCTCTTCTTGCTCAAGGAGTTTTTCCTTGCCACTGTTGCCACTGAATTGCTTATTTGGGGCTTGGACCCAAATTTTCTGTAAAACTGCTTTGTGACAGTGCCCAATGTAAAAATAACTATGTAAAGAAAACTTAATTAATTGATTGATTGATTAAAAAATGTTCATGGCAATCAGAAATTCTCCTCATGTACTCCTACAATAGCATTCAGAAGGTTTGCCATGATGCTCCAAACACATCAAAACATGCATTTTAAATATATTGGGTAATCAGTTCAATGGGTGTATGTGCACAGTTTGTTGATTACTTGCCTGTGCGACCAAACATGTTTGGTATGTAGAAAATATAAAAATATAGAAACTTGCCGAAAATATGAATGAATCCTCATTGTTTTTTGCTACCAGCATAGGTAAATGAGAAAAAGTGTGGCAAGTCTCACATCGCACAAGCAATAAAATACACTGTTAATCTTCATTTATGAACAAGCAAACAAACCACGGTCATGCAATTTGCTGTTATTGTCATGGTAAATCTGGAGGTGCATTTTATGAATCTGGCCCAGTGTCTCTCATTTATCGTCTTTTGTGGAAACCAGTGAAAACTAGGCAAAGCTAGGCATCTAGGTGCATCCTATTAGAATAAAGGGTGATGAGTGAGAAGATGCTTATGCAATGTACACCCCCACGCTCAAATGACAGGGCTTCTGAAGTTGCTTATAATTTCTAGGATTTGCAATATTTGGGGATAATTTTTAAATTAATTTAATTTATTTATTTACATTTTATCCAAACCAGTTTGTCTAACAGTTCAAACAATTCAGCCTCGGATTTGAAAATTGTCTTGAACCTGAAAACATGTGTATCGTTATACCCATAGTGAAAAACGTCTTATAAATGTTTATTAATGAGTTTTTCTGAATAGTCTTCCAGAACAGATGTAGACCGTGTTAGATCTTAGCTAAAACAACCATTTTATCCTCATTTAACCTCAGCTCTTTTAACTAAGGTTTATGACCTCATTCTCTCAGAGTTGCAATGATTCTTTTAAATGGTTAGTCAAAGCAGCAGAGTCATCAGTCCTCGCTGTTCCCTCTCTGACTTTCTCTTATTCTCTTTTTTTTCCCTCAGATTTCTGTTTCTACTCTTTTAGTAGTCAGTCAGAGTTGTCCTTCACACCTTTTTCGTTTTCAGAGTGTTCTTCCTGTCAATGACCTTGTCTAGCTTGTGATTGTCATTCGCTTTAGTCTGTTCATAATTTGAAAGTGAACAAAAATCCTCACTTCTTTTTTCCTTTTCATATTCACCCATCCATCTCATAATGGTGTCATTGTGTCAAGGTATGCTTTGTGTTATTTATAATAGCATACTTTGTGTTATGCTACTGCCTGAAAAAGACAAATGCACATAGACATTGAGCAGCAGCTGTAATCTTTGACAGACAACGAAAGATATAGAGAAGGATTTGATGTGAAAGTTGTCACACACAACATGTTTTGGCTCTGAAAAGAAGCACTGTGCAAACACATCTGCCACTGTTCAAGCGCGGGAGCAAAGTCATAGCTATGAAACCGTTATCGCATGCCACCATCACACTGTCACCTCATTGTGAGCTTCTTCACACCCTTTGTGAGCTTCTTCAGGCCTACCCAGCATATGGCTTTTTCCATAAGCGTTCTCATATTCTCTTGTGTTTCCTCGGATATCTCAAATCAAGACAGGCAACAGATGTCCATAGCACAGTACATCATAGAAAAAAATAAGGCAAGAATTGTAAAATATGTTACAATAAGAAACACTGATCATGGCAAAGAGATACATACATCTTCAGTGTTTAAGGGTCATTTTAAATTTACTTTTAAGTAATAGCAGAGAAGGTCAGTAACTGCTGTGCACACTATAACCACTAGAACGACTTTACTTGTATAGTTTGTGCTGGATGTGTGTAAGATATTTTTGTTTGCTGATTATTAGAATTTTTTTTTCTTTTTCTTTAACCTGAACTTGATGAAGTAAAGTTGAGAAAGCATGAACAAATCATGAAAGTTATATGAGCTGCATTTTGATTTTTCTTGCAGATGGAAGGGTGGAGGTGACAAAAGAAGGCTTGAAGCTGTGCACCATGGGACCTGGGAAGGTGTTTGGAGAGCTAGCCATCCTTTATAACTGCACCAGGACAGCTACAGTGAAAAGTGAGAATATACACCCACACATACACATGCAGTGAGCCAGGAGCAGGTTTATGTTGATGTGGTCATTTGCCATTTCTTGTAACAAGACTGAAATGATCCTTTTACAGGGATTCAGAGGGTGCTTGTTACTACAGAGAAAACATATATACCTAATAGCTTGTTATACGAGTCCTTGGGCAAGACTCCAAACATTACACCCTTCTACTATTGTAAATTACTCAAGAAGAGAATCTCCTAAATATACAAAAGTTTACAATATTTGTCAGGCATGATTCAGCTGTGTGAATCTCTTGCATTCACTGTACTTCATATGTTTATTACAATGTGAGTTTTCTTTTAAAATGCAAAGTAAATGGCATTGGCATTGACCACATTGTTGGTTGTCGTTAGTGAGCTAGAAATTTCATTTTAGTACATCGCTGTTACTTTAGCCTTGCTTCTTGAAACTCTTAGAACACATTAGGACGCATTGTGAAAGTGTAATCTGAGACTGGAGCAGGAGTCTATAGAGCATGATGGGTCCGTGTAAACAGCATGTTGTGCTAATTGATAATGAACTGACTGTTGATTTGTTGATTGCTTAATGAGGGAGGTTTCCCTGAGAGCTGGCTAATATGATGGTGTGAAGGACACGGGAGTTGCAGCATGCTGGGAAACTTCAACCTTTCTGTCAGTCACTCGCTGCAGATTGTTCCCTGCAGTATTTTGTTGCCTTGGAGATAAGTCTCTCTGGATGGATGCGAATCTTTGAGGAATCTAAGAAAGCACCCTGTAGGAGCCTGTTTGCATGTGTGTGTGTCTGTGTGTGTGTGTGTGTGTGTGTGCGTGGATGATGTTAAAAAATACCTCCTTGGGACAACAGCAGCTTTAGGTCAGTCCACAGCTGTATCTAGATCATGCACATATTTGAAGTACACTTTACTCAAATCTGCAGAATTGTCTTGATCAACATTATTCTCATGATCCAAACTCACATGTGAACATTACAGAGCCTTACCTTATACCTGCATTTTCCTTGATGGTAATGTAGTTACCATATAATTACGAAGTGACCTAGCTTCTAATATCACTTAATTATTTCTAATGTGCACAGGTGACATGTAACACTGTTAAGATGTAGTAGTTCTCCAGGATCATTTGGTTGGAAACTAATATTTTTGCCAATACACTGCACACCTGACACCTTTTTTCTGGACTAGCTTGTTTATTTTACTCTATCGGACAGCAGATCTCATGAACAAGTGTTTCATTTGCATGTACCTAGCATTTTTGCCATTCCTTGGTGATGTTCTCTTTGTATAATGTATAATTAAGTGCAGTCTTTCTACTGTGTAATTTTTAAAACTAAACATAGACTAGAACAGTTGTACAAAGGGAATGGTTAAAAAGGTGAAGCAATAAAAAATCATGTGGCACATGAAAGAGAGAGGATAGTGTATGCTGTCTACTGTATACTGTGATGCAAAACAATCCAGCACAGTTAACTTTAAGTGAAATAGGGAGTAGTAGCCAGTGTCTGTCTGTGTGGCCAGAAGTTCATTTTTGTGTTGGTGATATTAGACAGTTCTAGATAGCTGTAGAAATCCCTATTGTGCAATATGATTAAAAAAAGTGAAGTTTATCTGACAGCAAACAAATGGAGAGAGGAGATGGTAAAGAGAGATAAGGAACATGCAACTGTGGAAGAGAAGAGAGCAAAAGAGAGAAACTGTGAAAGACCAAGGCAACCTTTGAAGTGACATCACAATTATGGTTGTATTTTTCCCCAACATGGGCTAACTACAGAGATGTGGCCTTTTAAGTAAAGGAGCACTGTCTGTGCCCCAGTGCTCAGCTCTAACTAATGGGCTATCACAGCCAGCTTAACCACCAATCCATCCTGCTATTTATTGAGAGAACATGACCTACAGTCTGCTTCAGAGAGAGAGAGAGAGAGAGAGAGAGAGAATCATTATTACTGTAAATGTGCCCTTCTACCTTCATCCATTAAATGAGGTTAAAATCTGTTTTTTATCCTTACTGTAATTGAGCTTAAGCATTACCAGCCAATCCCCTTAAACTGAACTCCAATTAATGTAGCCTGTTTTTTCCTCAATGTTTATGCTTATGCAATTGAACTATTTCCCATTGATTCACTCTCACTGTCATGGTCTTCTGGTCTATATCTGTGCTTTGTTCACCACCCTGTCTGTTTCATCCATGCTTTTCTCTCTCTTGGCTCTTTCCTTGCTGTTTGGCTGGTTCTCATCCTTTTACTTAGACATCACCTCCCTCCTTCCATTTATTTTCATTCTTTTCTCATTCTACATCCCTTTTCCCCCCATCACACATTCTCTCTTCCAGCCACCTCTTTGCTCTGTCAGCTATGTTTATCCCTCCTCTCTTGTCTCTTCCTCCCTCCATCGCTCCCTCCCGCGCGTGAGCCCCAGCTGTGGCCCCCGCTTGCTCTCCTCTAGGGGCTCTGTTTATCGTTCACTGGTTCCTGTACTCCTCCGCTCGCTGGCTCTGGCTCTCTGCTTAGTGTCTGAGGCAGGAAGTGGGGCTGGACTGGACTGGGCTGGGCCTGAGCAGCATGCACATGGCTTTGTCTCTGAGCATCTAATCTCTCCTCTCACACAGGCAAATGTGAAACATGACCTCTGCACGCTGCCAGCACATACCAGTCAGTGCATTTAAACAGTGCGTCCTATCGGCCCTGCTCATCTTGCCTAATACACACCAGACCCAAAGCCGCTGTCACAGCTTTTGGGGAACCTCCATTGTTTTGCAATGAAATGAGAGTGAGGTCTGTAGGTGCTCAGCTTCACACAAACTCTCCCATTTTCTAATCTCAAGTGGCTTCAGAAAATGTACTGGGTGGGTGGTATCTTTGACCAGCTAAAGACCAGTGATTTTTGGTTTATTATTGGGGCTAAGCTGTGGGTTTATGACTCCAGAAGAACAGCAAAGTGCTCTTTAATGGAATTAGGAGTCTGAGCAAGTGGTTGGAAGTTTGTGTGATGATTACTGTTCTTTAAAGACTAGGGAATTTACAATTTTAGAGTGAGGACAGTGGAATTTTACTTTTACATAGTGGTAATAAGGGGGTAATAATATAGTAATATTGTGGTAATTTAAAAATTACATGCAAATTTTCTAGTTGTTACTAAATAATATGTTAGTAATTGTAGTGGTAACAAGTCAGTAATATAAAGGAAAAATAATGTTAACTTTAATTACTTGTAAACAAAATGTTAATTTCCTGTTAATATAAAAATGTGAGTAATACTAAACAATTAGTCATTTTAGGCCCCCTTTTTTAGGTGTGGTGCATTTTAAATTTTTCATACAGTGGCCAGCCCTTACAGCACAATATCTGCTTAATTAACATATCACTCCAATTCTTTTAAATCCTAATAGGGTTTTATAGTACTGGAGTTATTACCCCCAAAACAATAAAGTAGTTCTGCTAAAGTTATGTGGTATTAGAGCTAAAATATCAATTCACTTGGTTTCTGCTCAGGTTCTTATCGGTTTTGTCAGTTTCTAGTCAGTGTATGATGTACTAAATGTATTTATACTTACTTCTTTCTATTTTGTTTCAAAGTTACTGCATCTCACATTACGTAACAAAAATAATCTGGAAAACATAAATATACTGAGTTTACATAAAATCAGGGCTGGAAAGTGCAACATCACGTTTCTTTTGAGTTACCTGTTAACAAAATACTGTTACTCTATTATAAAACACAGATCTGGCAAAAGGCTTTGAAATTAGTTTAAACCTCAAACCATGCCACATTAATCTTTATACAACCTGTTTGTCTTTCTTTGTCTCAACTTATTATTTATTAACTGGAAAATGAGCATATACTTTTTAGCTTAGTACAATTTGTTACTATTATTTTGGCATTTTATTACGGACCTGTTAGTAATTTATAATTTAACAACAACTAGAAAATTTGCATGTAATTTTTAGGTAAAAACAACTTGTTACCATGATATTACCATGTCATTATGCACTTATTATCACTCTAGTTAAGTGCTACTAGTGAGGCCAATAGAAGTGTGAGCATACCTACTTGTGTAGTCATAATGCCCTTACTGAAAAGAAAATATATGAACAAAAGTCATGTTTTCTTTGTAGCTTTTTGCTTTAGCTGTATATAGCTTAGTAAAGTTAATGTTTGTCATAGAATTGAACCCTGAGGCCCCAAGTAGAAGTGTTGTTAGCAGTGCAGAGATGAACTGTAAGGCTGTGACACTTGGCAGTTTCCTCTAAACGTGCTGCAGTGCTTCAAGAAGTTCTGGGCACCGGCTTCTTCTGCATCAAAGGAAGTGTATGCAGGCTTCACACATCAAGTTCTTAAGTAAATGGCTGTGCAGTCACACACAAAATAATGTGTGAGTATGATTGCAGTCAATGGTTTGGTTTACAAAAGTCTGTTTATATGACAACCTTCTGGAGAGAGAGAGGGAAGTAGAGACAAGTGAATAACAAATAAATGATTAGGGAGGTGAGCTCTCTGTCAGGCTTCTGAATAGAACTAGCTTTGTATGTGAAAAGAACCTACCAGGTTTTGGAAACTGTAATAATTTAAATTCTGTACATGTACTTGAAATGTTCTGGTGTGGTTGCAAGGAAAAGCATTTTGATTCCGACTTGCTCAGACATCATGACTCCACCGTTGCTGCTATGTCCTCATGCCCGCAACAGGTCGCTGAATATTAAGACAAAAGACAGACCAAACCAAATGAGATTTTTCATTTTGTGCTTGGAGGGATATGAATCATAAAGCTACTAACATCCTGAATAGGTCATTATCAATATTCCATTAAATTAGCATCCTTCCATTAAACCAGTGGATGCAGTTGGGTGTTTATATTAATCTGTGTCATTAAACTTGTAAATAAAGGCATTAAGCACACGTCTTTGGGAAGATTCATAAACAACTGCAAGGTAAGAGCTAAAGAGTATTTTTAAAAGTTCTAAATGAACAACTAAGGGGTTCACTTCTCTT